GGGAATTCCCAAAACTGCGGGAAACCTCAAGTTGAATGGGGATTTTTTTGAGTTTGGTATTATGCGGGGATTTTGAAAACCGATAGCCCGGGCCAATTCAGAACCTTTTTTTCAAGAAATCTAGATACTTATCTCAACATTTATTTAGGTTATTTATGGATATTGAATGACACCCTTTTTTAATTATCTTCATTGCACGACATTTAATTTTCGAATTTATATTATCAAAATGTTGTGAATCAATCAATGCTTTTTCATTTCTTAATTTTTTTTTTAAATTTTAAAGCAGAGAACCGCATTCATATAAATGTAGATACTGTGGTACTTTTTTATGGCAACAAGGGAAGGAATTAAATACACTCAATTTAGTTTAAAGTTCTTTTTACAAAAATATGGAAAAAGTGCAAAACATTATTCGGTAAAAAAGAAAAAAATGTAAGTTAAAAAAATAAATCCTATACAATTTGTGGGGAATCTGTAGATATTTTGTCCCCAAGTTGGAGAATTTGACAAATTGGTGTTGGCAACGCTGCTTCTAACCTAGTCATTGAATTTTAACAAATATATCTGAAACTATTTATCATAATTGCGCAGATGTAGAGTATATATGTCAGCATAAAATAAATATGGCGGACATAAACTGTTGAAAGCTTTTGGCAGCGACTTTAAAAAAATTATAAGCAAATGTATCTTGAAATTTATAAAATCAATTAATTGTTTCTGTGTGGAAATCCATTCGTTATTTTCCATTAAGATGTTAAAAACTTTCCGAAAATTTTGGAAGAACTGCATGAATATTATAATATTAAAATCTCTTAAAATATATACCTATTTGAAATTATCATTTATTTTAACACCTTTAATAGATCACTGCAATCTATAAATATAATATATATATATATATATATATATATATATATATATATATATATATATATATATATATATATATATATATATGTGTGTATATATATGTATACTTCTTACTGTATCAATTTTTTATTGTGTTTTATTATTTAAATTAAATCTTTTTATTTTAAATTCATTTATACATTACAGCCAATAAAAAGTCCACGCGGTTTGAATTTTATAGTTATACAAGTGGTAAAATTAAAAATTTTGAACAACCGACTTCAATATAAATAATTTAAAATTAATCATTTTGTACAACTGACTTCAATATAAATTATTTAAAATTAAACATTTTGTACAATCGACTTCAATATAAATTATTAAGAATAACTCAAAAACATGAGAAGCACTAGCTTTCAAATAAAAAAGAATCATCAAAATCGGTTCACCTAGAAAAAAGTTCTGAGGTAACACGCAAAAAAATACAGTCTAATTGATAACCTCCTCCTTTTTAAAAATTCGGTTGAAAAATAGTAAAGTATTTACCTTGGTTTTGATAAGTGCGTTCATATGTAAACTCCGACGAGAGCTGAAGGACTCGGGGTAGCACTTCTTGGGTACTAGGCCATACTTGTTCACCAAGTTGACGATCATGTCCCATTGCCCACCGTCGTTGATGGGATCCTAAAATTAAGATAGAATATTGTAAATACTGTATAATGGACCTCTAGACATCTTACTTTATAGTAAAGCACGCCTCCGACTTTAGCTTTTTTTATAGAATAAGGGTGACAAACGAGCACACAGTTCACCTGATGGTAAGTGGATGCTGTGGCCCATAGACATCTACATTTATCCTAGATTAAGTATCAAAATGCGTAGAAATCAGATGCGTTGTAACCCCTGAGGACTAAGATGGAGTGCCTCGTTTCCAGTAAAAAGGGTCTCCGGTTCTCTACACTCACCATACGAAACACAGCAGCATTAAGCTACTATTTTAAGCTGGTATTCTGTAAAAGCGTGGTCCCACTCCTGTCGAGCCGACCCATTCGTGCTACAACCTTAATATAGCTGCAGCATGGCTCTACCACGTAAAAGAAGCTCCACGTAAAGAGCTCGCATGGTATTAATGTAATATAACCAAAAACAAATCAATACACCTTGCTTTATAAAACAACTTAGTATGAAGAGTTCAAGCTTTAAACTTGAATGTACTCGAACTATTGAAATGGAACAGAGATTATAAAAGACAACTTTTATAGATTACCGTGTAGTGTGTAAGAATATCCACTACCCCGTATCGCCCCGTGGGTGTCGTAAGAGGCGACAGATAGAAACAAACCAGATGGATAGCAGCATCTTTCTAAAAACATTTAAGGGATAAAAAAACTATGGTTGCCAACCATTCTGCCAAAGTGGACTTTTAATAGTCTGCAACAGTTTTATTTTTATGTTATTCTTCCCATTTTATCTACATACCCTATTTTTCCGCTCTTAAGTGTGGAATTTTTTCTCCGAATTTATATTGGACTACTCCTGAAATATCTGCCTGGATGGTTTATAATGTAGAAACTATAAGCAATGAAAAAGACAAGAAAAATTCTAAAAATTGCATTCAAAACATATTTCTTCTAACTTCTACTACCAGGATGTACATATAAAACACAGTCTTTTTGATTTGTCAAATATTAACGCGCATGCAACTTACCTTCAAAAGAAAGTTGACAAGACGCCCCTCCAATGCTTCTCCTTGCTTAGCGGTCTCCACTATGTTATTTAGCCAGTAGTGCGAACGCTCAATTTTGTCCCAGAAAAATAGGTAACTGTAATAAAATATGTATAGGTTTAGGAGAAATTATTGCAACACGTGTTATATCGCCTTCTCTCTGTATTTATAAAGTGCCTCCACCTGCAAACTACTTCTTCTGTGTAAGACATGGACCTTATCCATTATAAGAAGGCTCACAATCGCTTGACAGGCACATCGGCGGTCTTAAGATCACTGTTTCGCAACTTTGAACTGTTTCTCGTCGGCTACCGTATATCTATATGTATGCCGAGCTCTTACTGGCTAGTTTATAAGTTTATATGTATAACTAAACATATAAACATAAAAACATTTTTATTATATTATAATCATAATGTTACATAAATCACTTTTATTTGTTGTGAATCTAAATTAATATCTAATCAACTTAATCACAAACAAAATTTTATTAAAATCGGTCCAGCTGTTTAGAAGGAGTTCCAAAGAGTACACACAGACAGAAGAATTATATAATACTAGGTATTCCCCGCGACTTCGCCCGCGTGTTATTTGGAGTTCTAATTTTTTTGCGCGGAACCCTAATTTTTTTTTAAATAAAAGTAGCCTAAGTTACTCCTCATGACATCAGCTATCTGCCAGTGGAAGTGCGGTCAAAATAGGTCCAGCTGTTTCAGAGATTAGCCGGAACAAACAGACAGACAGGCAGACAGACAGACAGACAAACAGACAAAATTTTTAAAAATTGTATTTTTGTTATAAGTACCGTATATACTTTCATATGCATTTAGTAAAAAGCTGTTGACATTACAACCAGACACCTTAACAATTTGAAACATATGTGCAAATAATTAGGACAAAACAGCTTTACAGTTAATAATTGCGATTAAAAGAAACATTTCACAAGCTATGCAGATCGTAAATAAGTCAAAATATGATACGTGATACTGGTTGATAAAGAAGAATTTTTATTATTGTCTACAATAATAAAAATTCTTCTTTATCAACCACTAACAGGAAATGGAAGGTAGGTTCTCGAGTGGCAGCCTCCAACGGGTAAGCGAAGTGTAGGACGGCTCCCCGCTTCCCGCGCGATGGAGTAAGATATGCAGGAAGTCGATCGATGGGGATGGCTCAGGAACGTGCGTGCCCAGGACTATGGCATTCCTTGGGGGAGGTCTACGTACAGTAGTGGACTCGTGAAGGGCTGTAATGATGATGATGGTAATGAACATGACTTCTGAACAAGGGCCTCTCCCATTGTCGGGCAAATTGTTCATCACAGTAACTACTCTACGTGTCGCATCTCTGACACTGTTCTCAGTTGCCGGTCTTGATACAACATTAATATATAAAGAACAAATCACATTTTGTTAAAAAAAAAGCTGATTTCAAAGAACTAAAAAAATAAAATAACTTTAAGAGCATGAATGATTTTGGATAAAAATTCTGCTTGTAATCTTTCTTGAATAGAAAATATTCTCTTATAGGCCTATTCAAGAATGTTTAAGCAGGCATATATTTTTGTCATACAATGCTACAGCAGCAGGTTCTTTGTTACCCTCGCACTCAAATATATACTAGTAAATACATCAGATAGTTATGCTACCTGCCTTGGTTTCCGCTATAATTCCCAAGAGTGAAAGATTTCATAAACATTGCTATTGGATGTGTATATAATGAGATACCACAAGTAATTCGAGACCTAACCTTCGTTAAATTTAAAAGAGAATTATACAACCGGTTCAGTAAATAGATATTTTAAACTGTACAGAAATATTTGAACTATGATAGGTAAAAAGCAACTTAACTAAAACTTGACTGGGCCAATTATGAAAGCTTCATTAATTATTTCCTATTTATTGATTACTTGTTGAAGTTTTGTTATTATAATAGACATTTCATTTTTAAGTACTACTACTGTCTCGACATTTTATAGTTCTAAGATTTGCATGCCATTAATAATGGCTGATTAAGCGGATGTTTAATTACTATGACCATCTTTAGTGTACCTTAACCAAACGCAAAAACACACATACGCAAATATAAATATTTCATTTAATTTCGTTGGTGGCTCAAGATCATCTGGGCATTTTCCTTAGTCAACTCATGCAATGGGGATATGGGTTGATGAATTCCCCTATGGTATATACCACTATATGGTAAGATCACAGAAGGAGCGATACAATGTATCTATAGATTAATGTAGGCTAAATTATACTTACCCCTGAGAGAACTCGAACTCTTCAATACCATATTTCTTCATGAAAGGTAGTCTCATGACATTAAGTGCGGCAAAAAGCCAACACCGACCAGTGTTCTCTTGATTAGTCACTGGCTTGCCTTCAGACTCAACCTAAATGTAATAAACATTTTATGTTACATTAAACATATATTATGTGTTGATTAAATATACATTATGAGTGATGCTGCAGTTATACTATGGTGGTAGTTTGGGAATAGGGGAGATCTCCTATGCTCCGTGTGATAGTTCGGAGCTATTCTATTAAATACCCACAGTACTTCGGAATTTTGATAGCGCGATTTAGGCTTCGGTGCATTTCGCTTGTGGCTCGATGACAGCGCCGCCCACATCACCCCCCTGTTCAGATCGGTCTGAGCAGTAGTCAGACTGGAGGCCGATGGTGCAACCCGATAGCCGCTGCGTCTTTGATGCCGGTGGGGAAAACATGCTGTGTGCGTAATGATAATTGACGCCGGTGCGAACGATATTAAGCATGCCATACTCTGCAGTTGCAAGTGATGCTGGTGAGAACAATGAGTCAAGCAAGTGCCAGAAGTCTGCCTTATAATCTGCGGTGAGTCGAGATGAAGACAAGTGGGGACTGGCTTGGTGGCTTGCAGGAACTGAAGGACTACAGAAGACGATTTACACGATCGAAAATTCTTGAGGATAATGACGAAGGCTTGAAGTTGTAGTTTCCGAAGGCTGTTGGTTGCGGGTTCAGATCATGTTGGTTAGTCACCACTTTGGCCGTGGAAGGAAAAGGGAGATCTTCCGCCGGGCAAGGTGATTGGCCTGGGGAGCAGCTAATGGTGCATGTGGTAGTTCGGAACTATTCTATATAATATACACGCAGTACTTCGGAACTTTGATAGCGCGATTTAGGCTTCGATATTAGAATATTAGTTAATAGAATATTATGATAGATGACAGAGCCGCCACAGTAGTATGAATGGTCGTCTCAACCGGGAAAGACCAAACTCTCACAGAATACCAGCGTGAAATAGCCGCAATCTCTCCGCCAATCGTGCCACTCTCCATTCTGAGAGCTACAAGTCTTCACATGTCTTTGAAATATATTTTTTAATTTCTCAGACATGCAGGCTTCACCGTCGAGCACATGGTAAATCAGCACTTGAAACTATATCAAAGACCTACCTTGTATTCTTCTTTGCTTTCATTTACAATGTTAAAAAAGAGATCTTGTAAAACTTTATCAAAAAGGAATCATTCCTGTTAAATATAAATATAAAATTTGCCGTAGGGCATTTGCATTGTCACCCTTATTTTTTTATATAAAACATAAATTGATAATATAAGGCATACAAGAGCCAAGAATTTTGAAGTTTGTGTGATAACACAGTGTTGATATATTAAATTATAATTTTATGACCTGATTAGCACATCATGCTCAGCAATTAAGGAAAACATTGTGAGAAAATATGCATGTTTCAAAAATATAATAAAATATATTTGCAGGCATGCCATGATCATCATCCTCATTATCATCATTACAGCCCATTAAAGTCCACTGCTAAACATAAGTTTCCTCCATAAATTGCATCAGGTATTTTCAATAGTTGCCACACTTAAAGACAGGTTGCCAAAACTGCAGTTTTTTAATATTATCAGTTGTTATAATGGAGATGCTGCAGCAGCAGTTTCAGTTTCCTTCTTTTGCCTCTTACAACATCCATGCAATGAGATGGGGTAGTGGATTCACTTAACACTATAATTTATTTTGTGGCAGTGCGGCAGATTTTGTTTTGCACCCAGCAGTAAACATTACGTTATTGACAATATAAATATTGTAACTTTATAAAGGGATTTTATTATTTCAAAGTTTTTTTCGAATTTATAATTTCACGCAGCTCAGTATTTACTGAATCAAATTTGTCAAATTTCACACCACTACATTGTAGCAGGATGAACAAATAAATCTGCTCTAGTAATAATGACTCTATAAACAAAGGAGCTGGTGCCTGGTGGTTGTATATACACTGTTCCACTATGGGAAAACTTTAGGGGTACTTACTTTGATGTTATATACATGTAATGTACTATCAGCCTTCTTTCTACTAATGGCAACTTCAAAGGGATCAAAGCGGGTGCATGCATTCTGGGCCAACTCATTCTTAGGATCTGCATAGAAGTTCTCCCGCAGTTTTGTCAGTGTTTCAAGGCTAAGAGGTTCTGAAAAATAAACAAGTGTTTGGTTAAACTTTTATTAAGAAAGTACATCTATACGATGCCAGGTTCTTTTGTATCTTGAAATGAAAGAGCTGGCTGACTAAACAATTTGAAAAGTTATTTAAAAATAAATAATAGCATATTAATCCTGCCAAGCATTTCATAAATGTTAATTTAGTCCTGCTGGGTTTTTTTGCTGGTTCTTCTCAGGATAGAGCTTAATAAGTGTTCTTGGAATCTACATTGAATAAAAATGATTCTATTCTATTCTAATTCAATAAGTACATTTTATCAGTATCGAAAGTGTGTAAAGGCTGGCATACTGCCAACATAAATTAATCGGCTAGGGTTGACAATTAAGGCCTAATCTCCCTACAAATTGGAGAGACCCATGTTGAGTTGTGAACTTAAGAGCTGATGATGAAGAAATGGATCAAGACATTTTTTTTATAGCAGAGGGGGCAAACGAGCATGCGGTTCACCTGATGGTAAGTGACTACCGCCGCCCATGAACAACCACAACACCAGGGGAATCGCAGATGCGTTGCCGGCCTTTTAAAAAGGAGTAAGCTCTTTTCTTGAAGGTCCCTAAGTCGTATCGGCATATTCGGCGGTATTCAAGCAGAATATATGGGTATCATCCAAGCGGCCATAGCAATAGATGCTAGGAAAGTAAAAGATTCCTCCATCAGAATACTGACTGACAGCATGGCAGTACTACACGCGTTGAGTTGCAATGTGATAAGCTTGGGACTAATATATGAATGCCATCAATGATTAAATGGGGTATGTAAACACTACAATGTGACTCTACAATGGATAAAGGGACACAGTGGATCCAGGGGCAACGACGCAGCAGATGATCTGGTCAGGAGAGCATCAATTCTGGCCACTATAGGGCCGGAACCAATCATACCAATCCCCTTTGGTAACTTTCGTTCACTGGTACATAAAAACTTCATTAACCAACACTCTCAGCTTTGGAAAAATTTTGTAGACTGTAGACAAGCTAGGGAGGCTCTGCTGAATAAACAGTTGTTTAACCAAGGTTGTAATGAGATTTAACAAGCCACAGATCAGAATAGTAACAAGTACTATCACAGGCTCCTTTAACAAACATTTATTTACCATAGGTGTTACAAATAGTCCCCTGTGCAGGGGGGTCCCATGTATGGGGGAGGAAGAAACGACGGCCCATGTATTGCTGACATGTCCAGAGGTCGCTGCATACAGGACTAAGAATCTTGGCACACCGGAATCACTCCCGAAGTTGCTCTCAACATCAAAGGACTGTTGAACTTCTTCGAGGAAATTTCATGGCTTAAATAATTGCATTATTCCTGCCCACACGCAAAATACATGCTTAGACGTGGAGTTGCGGAAAACAGCCTATTCTCATCTTTTATTATCTTATCTTATGATAGAGGTTTGCATTTGTGTGCACATAATGGAAAAACTACTGGATACATTTCAATTAGGTTTTCTAAGTTTTATTAGTTAGACACTTGGCCCTTATCTAAAAAAAATATTGCCATATCTTCATTTAATATAAAGTTATTAAAGTTTTAAGAAACAACAATTTTTATATATATGTGTCCAGTGAAGTGTATTGTAATCGTAAATATGATGAAAAGAAATATCTAATACATGTCACATCATCATTCTACTAAAACTCTAAATAAACAATAGTTATGAAATAAAAAAAAAATTAGCAAAGCCTACCGCTACCTTTACAGCCTATTAAAGTTCACCGCTGAACATAGGGCTCCTCATAGGGGGATATTTGGCATAGTTGCCATGCTTGGTGCTTGCCAAGTAACATATACATGCTTGAATAATAACATCACTGTGTAGATGTACCTATTTCATTTAATCAGTAAATAAATAAATAACTAACACTAAATGTATACCAACCACCCATGGGCCTCTTTCCTTGGTCTCCATTATTAAATGACTCCAGGTTTTATTAGTTTAATATTGTTTAGTCATGTGAAATTAACTCACTTGAGTGACAGAATTCAATGCCCATGAAGTATTTATTGAGTTTAATACAAAATGAATTAAACAATGCTACTTTTACTAATTTATTCATTTACTTATTCGTGAAACTTCGTATCGTAAGACATTTTGACAATTTGTAAAAGAAATAAAATTGACAACTTTTATACTTCACTCAACAAACTTTTTTAATTTCTACGTCAGCAAATATGTTTTAAATGTAGGTAGATTTAATAAGTTTATTAGACAGGTTTATAAATAATAGAAATATAAAATGTATTTCTTACTTGAAGACATCGCAGCTGCAAATATTTTTATCGGTGGTTTGTATTTAAATAAATTACCTACTATAGATCTCAACAGCATTTATTAACATAAAGCTCTAATAAAAAACCTTAATATACGTAACTAAGTCTCATAAGAAAAGAAAGGAAAAGAAATTAAGTGTGAGCGTTGAAGTCAATTTTGTTTGGATTTTGTTGAACTTATGACTTTTTTCACATTCCGCTGTTTGACAGATGATGACTAGTTAAATTTTCACGAGTTTTCAGTACTCGTTGAACTTTTATCAGCTGTTCGCAATTTTTCATTAACAAATATTTTACAATTTTATATTTAATATTTATTTGTTTTAGTTATTTTATGTAAAAAAAATTACTGCCATTGAAATAATATGTACATTTTATTTTAGTATTATCTTATTAAGCCGGCCACATACATTCAGACATTCCCTATATAACATTGTAGTCTTTGCATTCAGAATTCTGTTTTGGGATTCCGAATGCAGTAATAAATTCATATAAAATCAATGACCAATCACACACGTACAGTAGTTTTCCGTTAGATTCGAAATTCCGCATGACTGCCTTTGCGTTCGGAATTCCGCACGAAAAAAAACGTTCCGACTTCCGACTGCAAGTTTTCCATGGCTTTTGTATCAGGCGCATCACGCATTCGTAAATTCCGTACGGAACGCGCCCAGTATACCATAGACTAATATATAATACTGGAGATAGACTCGCAACCACAGAGTATCTTTTTATACCTGTTGGCAACTGACGTTATCAGATTAGTTACCGTTCAGCGCCCTCTGAACGCCAAGCAATGAACTAAATAAAATATATATATATATACGTAGTTGCGTATATGGCAATATGTATAGGTACTTACGTATGAATTGCTATTTTATTTATAGATAGAATATTTTATCTATAAATCAAACTGCAATTCATACGTATATACCTATACATATTATTTATATTTCGTTTTAGATACTTAAGCAGTGTTTTGAAGTAAGCATATTAGTAGGGATGTTTTAGACACACAAGTTTAAGTATCTTTGGGTATTCGGGTAAAGGTAATGAGATAAATAATACAAAAATATATAATTCAATGAATTTATTAATTATACAGTAATTTCGACACCTTTTTGCCTCTCGTTTCGCACCCTTTGTTTTATTGTAATGTTCTCGAGCCCGTAGGAAAATGGAGACATTTTCATCACTATCATTACATAAATTATAATAGCTTTTGCCATTGAGTATATTGCTGACTTCTTTGCACCAAGTAATTATGAATAACACAACACTTTTATGGACCAAATATTTCTATATGTTTTTCACCTTTCATAAAGTTTAATTTTATGTGGAGTGTGGACTGACATAATCAGCATTATACATTTAACAATGTTTTCTACATGTGCATATATATTTAAAATATTCCATGTTATGTGTTCTACTTGTGCAAAAAGTCAAACAATGACCGGGTAGGATAGCATAACCATTTTTTGCCACAATATTCTTTTTTTATTATAAAATTGTGGAAATCTTCATTATTTGATGATGTTAAATTATTTTGACATGTTTTACATTTTTTAAATGTAAACTTTTTTGCTTTGGTTGCTATCCACCCACTACAATAAGCTGCGCATTTCTCTACATGAACTCGAGAACAGCTTTCTAGAATTAGTAGTGTATTTATTAAATCAATATTTAAATGTTCATCGATAATTTCCATTATGTCATTAGCATCCTTCATATTACAATTTTGATATATTAAATATTTTAATAATTTTAAAAATATATTGTCATCTTTTTCACAATTTCCCTGTAAGGAGTGTGGGGATGTTATATTATTTATTAATAATGTTTTAAATGCGGTTTCAAAAGCCACTGAGTTGGGCATTACATTATTATAGCCATGAGCTCTTATTGCCCCAAAAAAGTTTTCCAAAGGTTTATATTACGTAATAATAATGAATTTTACTACTTCTGCCCTTAACTTATTTGTTATTAATTTAAAACCTTCTATAGTTTGACCCAAATGGTTAGAGATGGTACAGTTACCGTTTTTGCCATTGTTATTTATATACTTCATTGACTTTAAAATGGGTAATGTTTTAGTCCAAAATTTTAAATGTATGTATGTGTATATTTTCACTTTTTCTTTATGATAATTTGCATTGACGGAGTCGAACAGGTTGTCGAACAGCATTATCAAATGTGCAGTGTCCACACTTTCCTCTGGCAAGGATCCAATTTCTAGAAATTAAAATTTTATGTTAAGTATGTATAAGTATTTAATTATTGTATTTGCTTTTTTTATTGGGGCATCCTAAACTACTGGAGAATGTTTAGAGGCATTTCACACCAAGTGTACATTATGTGTCTCATAAAACATGCATCATACAAATCATTTTTCGCCTACTGATATTTATTATAATAATTCATTACTGTCCTACTGCTAGGCACAGGCCTCTCAGAAGTAGAAGGATTAAGCCTTAGTTCACCATGCTGGCCTGGTGTTGGTTAGCAGACTAGACACAAACTGAGAACTTTATGAGGCCCTCTCAGGTGTGGAGGTTTTCTCCCGATGTTTTCCAGCACTGTTAACGCAAGTAATCAATAATCAAATTCTGTTCCCCACATAACCTGCATGGAAAGCAAGTGTTTGATCGCTGGGCTATAATGCCATTTTGTTTTTATAAAGAAAATGTAGATACTAAATCATACAGTTTCTTTTATTAAAATATTTACGGATTTCCCAATTTTCCCATAAATAACAATTCTAAATTTCTTTTATTAATTTACATAATCTTATTACTACATTCTTAAATATAGGAATATACATTTATGGGTCCACCGGCGTGTTATTATTATTAAGTCTCCATCAATTTGGCGGTCTAAAAAACAGAAAATAGGTACTTTTTATTATATAAATAGATGATGTATGACTGCAATGATGATATGTGGTGTATAACCAAATATCTTAATACTTTGACTATCCACTTTGCAGACACTATAATAAGACAATAGCAATGAATTACATTGAATGCACTGGACAGGCATAGGGTTAGTTGTTAAAAAATTTTGCAGTGTTTTTTGTGTATTTGATAGGGGCTGTAAGTTAAGTGAGACATACCTGCCAGACATCCAAGTGTCACACCAACAGACCTGCTGAACACTTGCGTGCAATACTTAACCCTCATTTTGGTTATCATTGAGGGCACCACATGTTGAGCTGTTTGACCATTTAGCCAAACATACCTTGTCATCCATGACATATTTTAAAAATTTTATTTAGTAAATTGTTACGTACACCGCTCATTAGATGAGGTGGATCATAAATAGGCATAATTTAGACACTACCCACTTCAAAAAATCCACCTTCATAATCCTCATTATATCTTAAATAATTCCTTTTGTTTCTTCCATCAACTGGTTTATTGCAGCGATGTTTGTGGCTCCTTGGGCACACACTGTAGCTACAACTTTAAGACCTGTGTTTTGGACTTTTTCTATTATATTTTTTAATTGATATCTCAGATCTACCGACTTCTTGTGCCTGAGCAAAAACTATAGGCTATTATTGGCTGCTTATATTTTTTAACTATGCCTTTCACCATAAATACAAGCACATGATCAGCGAATATTGGTTGTCTTTTGCTACCATTGTCAACAAAACCGTTTATTTTGTCGTGTGCCCTGTCGTAACTAAAATTAGTAGCAATTGACATTTCATCAAACAGTATGCAACAAAATTTATGTTTGTCTGGCATTTTGGACACTTTTTTCTTTAAGTGTTCAAATATTTTTTCGTTAGTGCCAGGCTTTAAATCCACTTTCTGTAAAATATTTTGAAGTGTTCATCAGCTTGGCAGAACAGAAAGAAAAAAAATTTTTCATTAAGAGTAAAACGCCTTCCTCTAGGTTTTTTACCACTTTCCTTTACTTGAATATAAAATAAAGATTTAGCTGCTGATGACATCGTTTTGGTCAAAATTTGGAAAACATTTGTTTTACTTATTTTCTTTGCTAGCAGATATCTTTTGCGAAAGGTCTGTTTGGTTTTAAGAACTTGACGAAGTGTTTGCTCTAATCTTTTAACCTTATTTTCAAAATGCTTCAGTCTCAAAAAGGGTACTGAAAATATAAAAATATAGTTTTAACTGTGCCGAATGTTGTTTATGGAAGGTACATTAAAAAGTGAATCGGTCGGCTTCAAGTCGGCTTCGGCTTTCGTCGGCTTTCAAGTCTTCAAGTTTAAATCGGCTTTATTATGGTAGACTATAAATAAACTTTAAAGGGTTTGTATTTGTAGATAGACTCTGATCAGTTATCTTACGGCTTAAGATCATAAAGCAATAGCTAACATACCTGAACTAGAAGTTTTGAAGTATTCAGTAGTTCTAGTTGTTATGGGTTTTATTACATCACGATGCAATATAGCTCCTTGGGATGTAGATGGCGGGATTGGTGCTGAGAAGCAATTAGAATAAATTTAGTATTTTACAATATTACAAAAATATAATATTCTAGTGTATCCTTTTAGTTTGCAGAATACTTGATAGTCTAAGATACCACTGTTGATTTCTTTTTAATGAAAGTATTTGTTTTTAATGAAACTCAATTTAAATAAATGTTTATGACCTACATTACTCCCGGGTTGCCTAACAAAAATTTGTCCCACATACCTTTAATTGAATATATTGTAATTAAAACATACTACATAACAAAAATATATTGTTTTTGGTTAATTCACTTAATTCATTAGTTTCACACATGAATGAATGTACAATAAATATATGTTTTATTGTACATTTATTTATAACCTGTGTGAAACTAATGCAGTTGCAAGTATTAAATAAACTTAATCAAAAACTGATTTACCTGATACATCTGCAGAGGGTAAAAGCAAAGATGGAACAGCCAATTTACAAAGCCTGTTTTTTGGGTAAAGAAACTCTTTCTGAAAGTGCTGACGACAGATTCTATGAGTTTTGTGGATAGTGGTGTTGTCCAGACTCGCAATACCACCTCCAATAATCTTTACCCAACTATGAAACCTTTCTGCATCTTTCTCAGGACAAGGAAAGTAATGTAGAGGTACACCTGAAAATAAAATAAAGTGACTATAATGGGCCTCACTGAAATGTGATTTAATAATAGTAAAAAAATTAAGATATTGATAAATAATTATCATAATTATTTTTCTACTCGTAGATCACTTAATTCAAAGCTATAAGAACTAGCAATGTTACAAAAGACAATTTCAAAACTCTAAAGCCCAGCAAAAGGGGTGTAGGTAGATGCAGATGTATAGACCCTCATTTTATGTGAGAGAGTTTATTATAATTACATATGTATCATCTGTTATCAAGGATGACATTTTGCACCATAGGGGCAATCAACTAAATTATTAATTTTCACTACTGTGCAGAATTTAAAAAAGAAATCCTACACTCTCGGTCTAGATTATTTACTAAAGATAAACAATCTTGATAATATAATTATGTCTTTTCATTTCATCTTGCATTTCAAAAATCTAAGAACTTACAAATGAAATATATAAACCTTCTTGTGAACTCTATGTAATAGTTAGGTCAGTGGGTTGTCTTAGATTCATTAGTAAGTTTGGACATTTTTTCAATCTAAGTCAAATCGTATTTACTCATTTAGACCATATTAATAGGCACTTTTGAAAGTCGAGACTTTAGGAGCATGTTCGAAAATGTAGATTATGATGGACAAAAACATGCAAGAAACTCAACTTTTAAATGCAAATTGAGAAAAAAGACATGTCAAGATTGTTTACCAGTTTACCATATTTTAGTCCTTGTTCTGAGGTTTACTATGAGTTAACTGAGTCGACAGACTACAGCCCGTATTCTAGAACGACACTCAGCGGCGATCTCAGCTTAAGCACATCTTTAATGACATATTTGTATGAAATGATAGACTCAAATCATACTCAAGTAAAGCTGTGTTTGAGCGTCATTCTGGAATAAGAACCTACATGTAGCATTTATGATTTCTAAATTTAAAAAAAAAGCTTATAATAAGTAGAAATGTCGTTTTTTACTGCTTTTTAATTGTTAAAAACAGATTAACCAGTTATAGATTAAAGATTAGAATTAAGAACCAGATTAAACAATATATTAGGCCGACAATATGGTGTATTAGGTACGTGGAATATAAGCCAGCGTAGAATACACAATATTTGTTTAAAAGACTATTGAGGATATGAAAGTTCAGAATATAAAAACACACTTTACTCACCATCTTCTGCTACTACTTGGCACCCAGGAACACAGCAGATATTTCGAGGCATTGTGTAAAATGTAAAATTACACTACACTGAGATATATGGTCCAAACTCCCTACGGAGGACCTATCAAGATGTATGTCCAAAACACTTTCACAAAGTACAGTCTATGCTGGAATTTTGGTATTTCTGGAATATACGGAGGAACTGAACCTCGACTCAACGTAGTAACACAAAAAACACCAAAAATTGCAAGAAAAATGCGCACGAGTATGCAAACACACCGGTGGAAAATTTCTTGACCTAGTGACGTTTAGACTCAGTGTTGCTAACATTTGGTATCAGTAAACTACTCCAAAGATTCTAAGATAGTAACTGTAATTAATACTTTATAAATTATAATATCACTAGTAATATAAAATAATATAAAATATTTTTAAAATAAATTATACTAAGTTGGTAAATCGTTTATTTTTGTGTACCTGGACTAATAAAAGAAAAATAGCAAATTAATCAATTATTGTAAAGTACCAAGTAGCCCAAGTAAAAAAGAGTGGTAACACTGCAATAAAAGTTCCATGTATGCGGGATAGATGGGGCTTTTCATAATAAATAAAAAATGTTTTAAGTATGCATCGCGTGACCGACGCGAGTAGGTGTGTATCGAATTCGTATCAATTTCGATATATTTTATAATGCAACTCTGGTTTCGTATTTAATGTTACTAGATACTCCTTCCATGCTCCTCGCGCATTACCTATTTATTAAAAAAAACCAACAATCTTCATCAAAGCTATGGAGTGTAGAGAGAAAGAGGTCCATCTCTATATATGGAAAGTGTCCCTAAAAACTGTCCAATAAGGGTGGCGCTGCAGTAGCATAAGAAGCGCCAAAAGTAGAATAAGATGGAGAAATAAACAAGGACCGACCAATCCGCTTGGTTTTGTACTACGTAAATAGTTGAGATTTTGTATACTGGCATTTTAGTAACTACTCTAATCATGAAATTTTTTAAATATTTGAATTCAGCTGACTTCACTCCGTTTACAACAGCTATCTTCATATCGTAGTTTTTCAGACGCCAGCGCTATTGTGGAGGTTTTGGAACCTCTATTTTCAGTATATAGTAGGACATTTTTTCAACTTTCGCCCCTTATAAGATGGTTCTCCTTGTATTGGTTCTCCTTGTGTGTCCTCTACACTCCATAATCAAAGCGAATATCACAATGAGACCATAGACAAAACCAAAGCATTCATTTGTCTTTGTATTTATGTACAATTTTTTTGAATAGTATCAATCATGTCTTGTATGTGGAAGTTCTTCAAAAAGAAGGTGATTTTGCACAGCAATTCGTAGAAAAACGTCCGGTAATAAAATTTGGCCATTCTTCTAAAAACTGAGCATCATTTTGCTTATTTGCAAATGATAAAAATACAAAGTTCATCAAAAAGTAGATCATGCAAAACATGACGATATATCGCTATTAATCACGGGAAATTATCGATACTGTTTGTAAATATCGATATATTTTTACTTGCCTACCCCTACTTCTATGTACTTTGCCTATTTTTTAAATCTAGCAACCTACCATGGAAATAGGTAGGATGGGGAGGAGTCATATCTGAGCGCTAATTTTAAATTTTGAGTACTGTGCGACATAAAATAGTATGAGTACAATACATTATAAGCAATTTAGCAAAATTAATTCATATATTAGTTGTATTTTAATTTATTTACTCTGCTTTCATATGTGAATCACTTAAATTTTGTCACTTTAGTTAAATTTAAGTTGTTAGATTTAATTATAGGACTATAACTGAACTGACTGGACAGCCAAAGAAAATCAATACTTACAACTTTGCTTCCATTGGGTAACACTGTAGAAGTGTAGAAGAAAATCTTCATCATATGAAGTAGTTTACAGTTATTATGCTATATACCTTCCACTATATATTACATTTTTATTTAAAATTACCTATAAATTGAATTCAGTGCATTTTTAAAAGAAAGTAAAATACAATGTCATTAAAGGCATATGAAGATGCTTGTATTAGAGCAGAATTGTTTGGTCAGCCTTTACCAAATAGAGAAGAATTTTTGGAAAAGCACAGATATTTGGATGTTGTTGAATTCGAAGAAGTGGATATAAGAACAGCTGAGGTACCTTTGCAATTTACCTTCGATATTATTTAATTTGTCATTAATAGCTAGTGCATCAGCGTATTAATATTGCAGCAAAAAAATTTCATATTTTTTATTTTAAATTGAAAATAAAAGCTCATTATATAATGATTCTGAATGATATAAGTCAAGCGCATCATATTTTTCGCAAAGTTGGGTAAGGTAACATAGAAATTATTTTATTATATTATCTTTCGACCATTAAATGAAATATTTTAGGGTGTACATTTGATAATCGGATAGATTTTGTTGGATATATTTTTTCCAACAACTCAACGCATTCCCCGTGAAATAAAGGCAAGCGCGGCATACGTTCACTAAATACAAATGTATAATAAAGTTAATTTTAAGTCTTAATACAACTTTGTTTAACCCTTAAATGCATGATTATTTGTTTTGAACTAAAAAAAAATAGTATATGATAGGAAATTAGTCACAGGTTACGTAAAAAATAATAAAAAAAATCCAGCTAATAATATAGAATATTTATTTTGAAAAAATACTATGTAGACTTTTGGCAACAATATGCGTTTATTGATAAAATTACTGTAGACGTAAGCAAATAGTCATATCATAATTTTATTCATTAGTATAGGAATTTCCTTATTATTTATGAATGAAATACAGCAAAGCAATTGCGATTTTTGTTATGACATAAAGCAACCTTGCATTTGACGCACTCAGTCCGTGAAAATCCTTTACAACCTGGAAGTTTGCATCTATTTTTAGCGCTGCACCTTTTTTCATCATGGCCTATACTATCAGTCCGGATATCTTTTGGCGGGACAGGTTTAGCGGGACCTCGGTGTTTTTTAGCTTCGATCTCCCTTTCTACATTATTGCTTGAAGGTCTTCCTCTTTTATTTGTATCGTACTTTTTATAGGAGCATAAAGTCTCTGCAAGTTCAGATCTGTAATCTCCTAAGGTAAGATTTGGGTATTTTTTCTTATACAGTATCCAAGAATTGATCACTGCCATATCAACCATGTGATAAAATAATCTAATATACCACTTGCGACTTTTTATTCTGATTTTATACCTACCCAAAAAACTATCCATGAGGTCAACTCCTCTCATATGGACGTTATAATCTTTGACTATTTTTGGACAAGCTATGGAAATTTGTTTCTTTCGTTTCTTGTCGTATCTATTCACAGTTTCGGCTGGTTCGGAGCCTACATAAGTTGACGCTAATGTGACAACCTTATTATCTTTCCAGCATGTTACCGAGATATTAAGGCCTTCGTAATCAGCTACTTGTTCCTCATATGTTCCTCGTACTATAGAATCTTTCATAAAATCTTTTACACCTGGCAATTTGCAATTCTTTCCGAGGCGGTTACGTTGAATAGTACCCAATGCATATATTCCTTGAGTCCATAGGTAATACAGTAAAGGAACGGATGTATAGAAATTGTCGAAATATAGGATATGGTTCATTTTTCGTGGAATTGAACGGCACAATCTAATCACTGTATTACCGACTACGCCAATATCAGGTTCATCAGATAAGTTGTCAACATTTTGTTTACCAGAATATATTTCAAAACTATAAGCATATCCAGAGAGTGAACACAAAACAAACAACTTAAAACCCCATTTATGGGGTTTGTTGGGTAAATATTGCTTCATAAAATGAGCTACCTTAGTCGAACACATTTGCTCATCTAGAGAGAGCATTTGGTCAAATGGTGCCACACTCACGAACAATTTGTTCAAGTGTACTACAACAGGTCTTATTTTATGAAGACGATCATGGTTTGGGTGTCCAATCAGGAGGACAGTTGGATACATTTTTTTTGCGTGATGTATAAATTTGTTTGTTCCACAATAACAGTGAGTATATCCTCATTTATAAATTCGGAGAAAAATTGGAATGGTGTTTCAAGCGCGGCTAGTGGAGGGGAAAGGTCTGTATTTCCTGTGAAACGTATACGTTCTTCACTGTATTGCAAATTACGCTTTTTCCATATAAGTTCTCTACTTCGTTGCCTCCACGCTGCAACACCAAAAAGGCTTGAATGTGGTTGACAATTCGAAGGTCCTGGAGCTGGATTATTGAAGTGATTCCACCATTATACGTGGTAGAGCCATGCTGCATCTATATTATGGTTGTAGCACGAATGGGTCGGCTCGACCGGGGAAGGACCACGCTCTCACAGAATACCAGCGTAAAATAGCAGCTTAACGCTGCTGTGTTTCGTATGGTGAGTGTAGAGAACCGGAGACCCTTTTTACTGGAAACGAGGCATTCCATCTTAGTCCTCACGGGTGACAACGCATCTGCATTTTGACTTAATCGAAGATAGATTTAGATGTCTATGGGCCACAGCGACCACTTACCATCAGGTGGACTGTGTGCTCGTTTGTCACCCTAATCCTATAAAAAAAATCCTTCTTCCATGTTCGAAGGTGGATTTTCATTGTCTTCTTCATCGTCATCATTATTGTCCTCTAATTATCTTGTAGGTCCGGGTGATAATCAATTTCGTTCATATCACCCATATCCTCTTCATCTTCAGAAATGTCTCCATTTTCTATTCGTGCAAGTAAATCCTCAATATCGTCATCTTTTAGCCGTCTAGACATCCTATAAAGCAAAGCAAACTATGTTAAAAGACCCAGACACCAAAAACACTCGCTTATAACTATTTTATTATGAAACAAACGCATAATGTAGACATTTGGCAACATACAGTAATTTCCAAAAATCTGTCTTGTATCTAATATAACTTTCAAATACAACATCAAACATTGATAGCTTACCTGATAACAAATTAGAAGTAATTTTTTTTGAATAAGAAGAATCACTATTAGGAACTCGACAGTAGAAACTATGTCTTCTAGTACACACTGAACTTCATCACCCACCACATTCAAATGTCAAAAAACGAGTAACTTACCCGCCAAGTGTAATGTCAACTTTTTTCTTTCAATAATGATTTATTGCCTATGGTTATTTACGAGCGTTCGGAAACGCAGGGACTCGAGGTTTTTGAATAAAATAACGTGAAAATAAATGTAGACAATTGGCAACAATATGCATTTAAGGGTTAAAGCTGTATATGAGCTAAACATTCTTAAACGTATTGCCGTAAAAAGTCCCATATCAATTGATAAAAAGAAAAGGGGAAAGTGTGCCACAATTTTATAGTCAGTATCAGTCTACTTTTTTCTTATAGCCTAATTCAAAAAGTGATTTAATGCATTAAAGTCAAATAGTTAACAAGTCCAACCAATGGATTGGTAAGCTGAAGTGGCCATTTGGGATGGCTATATAGCTCGAAGAACGATGCGGAAGAAAGGTTATCAAGTGGTAGTCTCGTACCGGTAGGCAAATTGTAGGGCGACCCCCCCACTAGATGGAGTGACGACCTAGTAAGACATGCAGGAAGTCGAAGAATGCAGGTAGATCAGGAGCGTGCTTTGGTGGCATTTCTTGGAGCAGGCCTATGCTCAGCAGTGGACTTGTGAAGGGCCGTAATAATGATGATGATGATGAGATATCAAGTGTCAAAGTTTTGGGCTATGACACATATTTTTTAATCATTTCATAAACAAAATAAACTTTCACCGATGATCTGAGTGACAACACTGATGTAGAGTGTGAGTGCAGGTCAATCTCTGTCCGCTGTTACATGTTACCCCGTAAGTTTGCACGCTATACTAAACAGGTCAAGGTTACGCTTTTTAAAGCCTATAGTCAGTCCTTATGTATATGTGGACCCTGTGGGTGAGCTATATAATATACATACATACGCGACCAAAATAATAATGCATCCACGATTTTAATGGGTAGCCGCGGTATTGTAGTACCTCGGGCATGTTTGCAGAGGCACATGTTGATGGGTTCGAAGTCATAATGCGCAAAAGATGTGCCTTCATGTTGGGTCCCATGCGCCCTAGCACCAACATCATCCTGAGCGTACTAGCGGACACATGGGACTCACCAATGTTGGATGATGCAGGGGCGTTGGATAAAATTATATACTTAATTAGACTCGCCCTGACCTTGAATAGGTCTGTGAATGTTAATGCCAATTTTATTTCAATTTTAGGTTTTACACCTTTTGATTATACATTACTAAGTAATATGGATATTTGATCTGAAATAAATGAATTATTATCTACGTACATATAAATAAAATTGAAGGGTCTGTCTGTTGTATCGAAACATCCGCCTTGTAGCTTACGGTTATTTGCATCCTATTATTAAATTTTAACAGACAAACTTGGCTGACATTAATTTTAATGGCTCGTATTTATTACACGTGTTAGAGCCATGTTGCAGCTGTATAATGCTTGTAGCACGAATGGGTTGACTCGACTGAGGAAGGATCACGCTCTTATAGAATACCAGCGTAAAATAGCCGCTAAATGCTGCTGTGTTTCGTATGGTGAGTGTAGAGATCCAAAGACCCTTTTTACTGGATACGGGGCATTCCATCTCATGTGCTTTTTGTTTCATGGCACTTAATTAACCATTCTTTGATCTAACATTGTCCCAGTAAACCAAAGAATTATTATAGGTAGATACATAGATCTGTGAAGTTTTTGTTTAAGTTTTACGTTTGACGTCGCGGTTAAAAGTTAGTTAAAAATATTTAGCAACAGTTGTTTAGTCTTAGAGCAAACTCAACATGTTTTGTATTTATATAAAAGCAGTATAATTACAGCTACGTATATAGGTATTAATCATTAATTATTAGAGATGCGCCGAATATTCGTTTGGTATTCGGTATTCGGCAAAATCACTATTCGGTGCATCTCTACTAATTATCATATTAAAGCAGTAACCATATTTTACTCTGTTTACGAGAAGTAAGTTCAAGCCGAGCTGTAGCCTATACAGCTCCTGAAAGGCTTGAATTATAAGTCTTTTTAAACACTTTTGTAGATATCTTCAAGAAACTATAATAATAAAAAAAAATTAAACTAGAAACTTAAATTATGATATAGTCCTACTCCCCGCGGTATCGTGCCAAGAACGCTGGCTGCGTTTCCCCGCTGAATGGCTATATTTAGCCTTTGATGAGTGGAAGATTATTAGCCCCCATTGTTGTAGGTGGAAAACATAGGTACCAATAGCACCTACCTATGTTTTTCACCTACAAGAACTAGGTAATTTAGGTGATATACATTGATTTATTCGTTACAGTCTTTTAAAATGCCATTGCTGAACATAGGCTTTCCCATGTATTGCCATTTGGGTATATTTCCTATAGTTTACATGCATGGCAAGCGGCTTGGCAACAGTAGCTTTGTTTTTATTTTGAGTTTTTACCAGAAATATGCTTGTATTTCAGCTTCCCTCTGTTGACTCTCATGATACATACGGAATGATACGGATAGTGGATTCTCTTACACCATTACTACATCGGGGAATTATATCTTATTGTATTTATAGTTAGGAATTATATACAATTAAAGTTGGTGAAAAATTACTTCGCGTAAATCCGCTCGATAAAATAAAATGATGTGTCTTACCTAGTTTGAAGAGCACCGCCCGCCCTCCCTCAATTGCGTGCACTATCACCGTCACAACTAATCCCAGCACCACTACTTCCAGCACCACTACACTAGGAAAGACACACCAGTAGAATAAGTGACTTAGCGGTCAGCCACCGCAGAGTCCAGATTACCTGAACATGCCTCGTGTAGAGACGAAACACGTGTCGTATTGTCGTCAGTGGTGTGTCTTTCCTAGTGTAGTGGTGTTGGGAGTAGTGGTGCTGGGATTAGTGGTGACGGTGATAGTGCACGCAATTGAGGGAGGGCGGGAGGTGCTCTTCAAACTAGGCAAGACATATCATTTTATTTTATCGAGCGGATGTACGCAAAGTAATTTTTTACCAACTTTAATATAATGGACTTCCGCAAAGTAACGCCTGATTCTATTAATTAAATTATATACAAATATAATATAAGAGTTCACGATAAATAGTCAGTTGTCCTTATTATACTATGTAAACTAAACTAATTCAGAACAACCTAAATACAAGCCTCCTTCTCCTTTAAAAGGGATTAGCAATCGTTTGAATCAGAGGTCAAATTATACCAATCGAATATTTGGCTACTAAGCCACGAATAAATTCCAATTCAAGCTGTAGTCAATGTTTTTGTGAAAAAAACATGCCATCAAAAACATAACTTGTAAAAAAAACCAAGTCTCGCTACTCAGTTCTACCGTAAAAAGTTCTGAGATCCATGTAATACCAAGTCGGCTAATTTATTCAGTCCCTACTTAAGGGTCCTTCTGTCTTAAGTTATTACGTAATTAGCTAACCTAACAACATCTTATAGTGACCAAATCAATACTAAATTTTTTAAATATTTTATATTAAACATATCGAGATTATACAATGCCTACTTGGTTACTGAAAATTCAGGATTCTAGTTTTATCCACAACGAAGTTATAGGGTTTCGAAAATGGCCTGAACTGCTTCGAGAAAAGGATGGTACGGCCGTGCCGTTTTTTTTGTTCGATTTGGCGGGGGCACTGCCGTGCCCCCAGATAAATTGTTGGATGTTCGGGTTTTGGTTGTATTAAAATTGGCCCATTTTTGGGGTATTTCTTTCCACCTATTTCCAATTTTATTCCTAATCCCGAGGTTAATCGATGACGGTTAGAGGGCGTCGGTGTTTCCTCATACACTTGTACACTTATAACTTATATACACCTCATACACTAATATCTTCTGTATAGTTGGTAGCTTTCAATTTTCTTAAAGTTATAGCTGGGTCGAATAATTCAGGAAAGATGTACATAAAACTAACCATTCCATCAGTTATTAAATAAAAGCACATTCTATTATTTATTTTCATATATATTCGCAGATTCTGGCTAAGCTTTCAATTGGATATGATTTTTTTTTTAATTTTCAAAGAGTTTTTAAACGTGGTAGAGCCATGCTATAACTATATTAATAATATAGATGTAGCACGAATGGGTCGGCTCGACCGGGGAAGGACCACACTCTCACAGAATACCAGCGTAAAATAGCAGCTTAATGCAGCTGTATTTCGTATGGTAAGTGTAGAGATCCGGAGACCCTTTTTACTGGAAACGAGGCATTCCATCTTAGTCCTCACGGGTGACAACGCATCTGCATTTTGATTCGTAATCGAAGATAGATTTAGATGGCTATGGGCCACAGCAACTACTTACCATCAGGTGGACTGTGTGCTCGTTTATCACCCTAATTCTATTAAAAAAAAACCTTTTTGTCTACCTGATTCACCGATGGGCGTAGGCAGTCGAGACCAAGTGGAAGGGCCTGGCAGTGAATTAGAACATATCGATTGCCTTCGAAAACACTTTTTTCAAAGTTTTCCTCTTATGGGCTTCCGGAGAAATTAAGCAATTTGGTCACCAGTTTTCTTACAGATCGGAGTATTAAGATCGTAGTTGACGGTGCATGCTCTAACTCCAAGCCTGTGATTGCTAGTGTTCCACAAGGCTGCGTGACAGCACATTCCTTCTATATATCAATGATATATTGCATCTAGTAACATTCATTGTTATGCAGGCGACAGCACGCACTGGCGATGCGTTATACATCGTCCGTGCTAATATTTCTCGGGAAAACGTCGAGTGAAACTTGTGTCTGAAGTTGAGTTTTTCGAAATTTCGTCCAGTTTAACCTCCAAAAGACACAGGTTTGCGCGTTTACCGCAATAAAGAATCCCTTTGTCGTATCACATCAATTTCAGGACACTCCCTTCGTGCCCTCAGCCAGCATCGGAATCCTTGACGTCGACATTTCGAGAGACGTACAGTACCGTAATTAACGGAGAATGACCCAAATCGTTAACAATCAAGTTCTTTCCGATCGGCTTCATACACTGACCTTGCGAAGAGACGTTGTGTTTCTATGCATCTTCTACCATATATACCTACCACGGGGAGTGGTCGGAGGAATTGTTTGGATTAATTTCAGTTGCTGAATTCCACAATCATACACTGCAACAGAACTCGAAATTCCATCCTCATCATCTCGTTGGATGACTACGGTGTCATAAATTTAATTCTTTTATTAATTGTATAAAGTAAGTATAAATTTTTAAGATCTCGGGGATATCTTATGTTACGTTACGTTATGACATATAATATGAAATAAAATTATCAGCACCCTAAATATTTACAGGCGTGGCGTGGTGTTGGTATATTTCTTATTATTTTATCTCAACAATTGTCCGATAACTTCACGCAATATCTGAGCTGGTACTGCATAACACTGTAAGGTATGATGGGACTGCTATTTACATCAGTATCAAAGTTCCTAAATAAAAATTTCGATTTTCAATAGCGCAGTGGCTAAGCGTTTGGTTGTGCAGTCTCATTTTCGAATCCCGTACGGAAAAAAGTGTTTTTATGGCCTACAAATAATTGTTTCGGGTCTGGATGTGTGTTCTTGTGAAATTTATGTACATAAACCGCCTTCCACGATGTGGGATAAAATCCTAGTGTGGGATTAAGATAATAAAAAAAAAACAGTGTGCTCGCTTCCATTATTCTATAAAAAAGACGTAAAATGGTAGGGATTTGTGATGCGCAGTGATTATAATTTTACTGAGTATCTCTTTGTCATTTTGAGATACTGCATTCTTTCACAACACGGCCTACCTAATTAATTATAACGAAAATTATTAAGTTCTGCGTAACTTATCAATACAGTAGGTTTATTTACAACTAGCTGTTCCCCGCGACTTCGCCCTCGTGTATTTTAGCTTAAGTTACTCCTTATAACATCAGCTATCAGACATTGAAAGTCCCGTCGAAATCGGTTCAGCCGTTTCGGAGATTAGCCGGAACAAACAGACAGACATACAAAAATTTAAAAAATTGTGTTTTTGTTATAATTCGGTACCGTATATACTTTCATATGCATTTAGTAAAAAGCTGTTATTTTGACATTACAAACAGACACTTCAATTTTATTTATTTGTATAGATTAACACTTGTTGCAGAATACCGCAATCTTAAACGATGATTTAAAACAAGCTAGCAGTGGACTGAATGAGCTGAACACAATTTTATCTTCGACTCAAACTAAAATCAATCGCTTAAAGGCAAGTTAAAGTATATATAAATTATAAAGCTAAGCTGTAATTTGAAATATTTTAACTCTCATGTGTTTTAATGACATTTTCTTTTACAGGGTGTATGCGGTAGCCTGACAAATTTTTTTAGAATAAAACTAACGTCAAAAGACAATTTATCTTATTCTAGTGAGCCAAGTTATATCGGTCAAACGAATTACGACAAAGATTATGTTCCTCCTAAAAATTCTGAAATAGGTTCTATCAACACAGGCCTCGGAGCCAACGACACTGAGTTCACTCCCCGTGCGAGTGAACCGAAACAAAATGGAGGCGACATTAATTCAGCACTTGATGATTTAGAAACTATGCAGAGAGTCGAAAGAACTCCTATAATTAAGATTGATAAACAGATAACGTCTCAAAATAGTAAGTTAGACAATTTGATTATGAAGGCGGAGAGAGCCGAATCGTCGTTGCAACATCAAAACAAACAATTGAGAGGTTTTCTACGATAATTATTAAATAATGGCCTCATATACGTGATACTAAATATAATTTATAATTCCCTTTAAATATACTGAGAGCATAAGAAACCCTTGGTTAAAATAGTTGGTTTGTAGTGTTAAATTAATTTCAGAAGTCCTTAAAAATCTGTTAATAATCGATTGATGATCTCAAAATGTTTAAATTACAAGGATATTATCAATTTTTAATGGCGGTCTTTATGATAATCCCATAGCTATTTCAATAAGTATGAAAAAGTTTGGTGCTTTAGTAGATTTAAATACTTATCGAGATTTTTTGTCGTAAGCTTAATGACAATATTTATTATTAATGAATATATAATATATCCTAAAAATTATATCAGTTGTTACTCTGAAACGAACTGGCTTTTGCGCTATTTATAAGTGCTTAATGCGTGTCTTCAATTTTTCCATGTCTACTTGACTCAACTATATACCTTCCATTTATGAACATTACTAATCATTTAATGATTGAAATAATGAAACATATATTGTGATATGAATGACTGTTTGTGTAAAATACCAAATATATTTACTCATAATTTTAATTCCAATATTTTTGTTGAATTAAATAAATTTTAGAGTGTACTGTTGTTTCATTTTACACTTTTACACTGTAAACAAGATTGAATAACTTTTAATTTTAATCACATTACATAAACACATCTAGCAACTATAAGGAAACTCTTAAATCTTCCTGGTCATTCCTCAAGCGATGAAGATCAAAGACAATCGACATTGAAAATGTTACACTTTTAAGGTCAAGTAAAAAGTGGATTGTATCAACCATGAAATCGAGTTATATAAGTATCTGATTATTGTACCATGACATTACATTTCTGTTTACTGCTTCAAACGTTACAATGCTATTTGCTTTAGTTATTTGCCATATCGTAGTTGCAAGTGTTGCCAATCCATTTTATAAGTATCCATTTGTTTTCTTACCGGACGTGGGTAATGAAGAACTGGAGAAAACGAATACTGATCAGATCCGCGTATCAATCCCGGGTGGTTCCCTGGCTTTGCGTTACCCCGCAGTTGGTGATGGTGAAATAATAACTAACGTAATAGTGAGTGGTATAGACTTTGGTACAGAGCTCAAAGCAAATATAATTGACGGCGGTCCTGGTTATAAATATATTTTTCTAGTATTTTCCGGTAACAAAGGGATCCCTTATGACGCGGTCATAACATTACAAACGGTAGCCAGTAATATGGAGCCTGGTAATAATGATCAGATTTCAGACACTAACAGAATAACAGACAAATCAGATAGCTATCAGACTAATGATGAAAGTGATTTGAAAAACAGCGCAGAAGAAATAGATGATAGTGTGGAAAACACGATAAATAATGATAGTAATGCAGAATTAGCACAACCTAGTTCTAAAGTATTCAATTATGCACAAGAAGAAGACAATAATGATGAAGAAAGAGATGACGATAGTGACGTAGAAGATGAAAATGATGACATTTCTGATAAAACAAAAGATATACACGCTGATTATAATGAAAACGTAGATAATTACAAGGATAAACGTGCTGATGATCGAGATTCTTTAGAGAACAGTCTGAGTAAGGGAAATGTCGAAGACAATAAGGAAAATCAATACAGAGCAGAAAAATTACAAGCAAATTATAACGAATATGTTTATAGTAATAATAATAAATTTCTTGTAAGTGACACATTAGGTCAAGGAATCTCTTTGGATGAAGATGCTAAAATGTATCGACAAGACGCTTTATATGATGTTCAGGGTAACGATAATGTTTATTCTGCTGAAGATTCAGATGAGTTTGATCAAATGTTTAACGATGAGGAAGTGCACAACGACGCTAATAAGTATAAGGATTCTAATAATAATAATAATTTTGATTTAGATAATAATTCTGCGGCAACATATTGAAAATACGTTTGCTATTTATATAAATAAAATATAGTGTAAAATATGATTATAAAATATTTATATCTCTATTCAATCTTTATTGTTTGTATGTTACGTAGAAAAACGAAACGACTTAATTAGTTTTAGGCCATTTTATTAATAGTATACAATATGTTACTTAAACGTTATAATATGTTTAATTTAATATGTACGTACCTAAGTAGTTATTTTATGCATTTAAATAAGAATAGTTTCAAGCAGTGTTAGAATAAGATAGCACCGTAATAAACAAACAAACAGTGTCACTGTTTCAGTTGACAAGTTAAATCACCACTTTAAATAGATACTAAGTTCATAAGATTTTTCCGCCACGTGGGCGGACTGGCAGTCGAAGCCAGGTGTGTATGAAGGTACGGTAGCGATCTAAAATATGCCGAATTTTATACAATATTTACACAATTAAAGAACTCACGAATTATCTCACGAACTGCGTGATACATAGAAAGAGGCCCGCGTTCATATTGCTGATTAGGCATAGAGTAGAGGGAATTGTTAACTGCGATGTGATATGGATCTTAGACCACAATCACAACCGTTCATCAGAGAGTCAAATAGTGTGAAAGAATTGTTAAAAGAAGGTTATGGTGACAGTTTGGTGGTTTACTGATGGTGTTATTCACTATAGCTTCTTGCCAACTAGTGCCACAGTCACAATTACTAACCGCTATTGTCAAAACTTGAAAATATTGTGGTTAATGAGCACTCAACAATCCAGATTGCTTAACTGCCAGAAGCCATTGTTTTTATATAACAACGCCCGGCCACAGACTGCAAAACAGACGTTGGTAAAAATAGAAAAGTTAAAGTTATAGACCCTTTTACATCCACCATATTTTTCAGACCTAGCCCTAACGGACTTTCACTTTTTTCGAAGTATTGATAAATTTTTCACAGGCAAAATTTCAGTTCCGAAGAAGCAGTAAAGAGCGCCTTTAAAGACTTCATCGATTCTTGTGCAGCAGACTTCTATAGCATCATCAAACTTCCAATGACCTTTCATAGCTATATAGGTTCCGATAGCTGATGCTGTAAAATTTAATCAATTTTCAACAAATTACATAACCATAACTCATATCTTCTATAATATAAAAATGAATCGCTGAAAGTGTTGCTGAGCGCAAATCTCGAGAGTAGCTGAATCGATTTCGCTAATTCTTTTTTTATAATATTCCTTGAAGTACGAAGAACAGAGAGAAATTTTTAAAAAATTGCCTGAAAAAGGCTAAAAACAACACTTTTCTATATTCCCATACAAAAGATTTGTATTAATACTTAAAAGTCTATTTAAACTTTAATACCATACCATAAAGTTTAAGTGTTAGTGGAGGGGTTCCGGGAAGGCAAAACAATTGAGTGACGTTAGTATCGTATAAATATTAATGTCAATATTTGTCAATATTTATAAGATGGTAACATTAATCAAAAACAAAATTAGAGTTTCGCGCAAAAAATTGATATCCATGAAATCGCAGTAAATTCCACGCGGGCGAAGTCGCGGGACACAGCTAGTTCACAATAAATGTTGGTTAAGTGCTAATCACAAAATCTGGCCTGATAGGTGGCGCTGTAGTCGAGTTTTTAATAAATTTCCACGTCAAGAAAAGTCCGTATTAAATTTGGAGTGATACTCATCGCGCCACCTACCGGAAATGGTAGAACAACGTTTCACATGCCAGCTAATATATAAAAAGAAGACTTTTTATGGACAAGGATAATAACATTTTTGTCATTCTTAAATTACTTAGGTAAATATTGGCTATTGTGTTAGTACTAGATTTTTTTACTTCATTTATATTTTTGAAATAGTCTAAATTTAAGATAAAATTTTACTAAAAAGTAAGCTCTTTACTTAATTCCCGGAGTTTTACATAGGTGGCGTTAAACACAATTTGCGATGTAATTAAATTTAATGATGGGTTATCTTTGAGTATACATAAGCAAACTAGGGTGAACGTACCATTCCCAAACCATTTAAGGAGATATTTTGACTTTAATTAGCTGTCATTTTAACAGATTTGAACGGAAGACCTTAGTTCTATGTTATTTTTTAAGTTTATTTATAGACAAAATAAGGACCATAAATCATAGCAGCATAAGTATCTAGGAATTTCTGTAATTATGGCATAAATCCTAAAAGATGAACTGTTCCTTAGTTAGACCAACAGTAGCTAGTTATTGACCAAGATTGAGCCAGTAATTGACCAACGTATTAACACATACAGGCTGGATAAAATAAAACAGCATTTATTAAATTTCACAATCAACGTTTATTGAGGTCTAACTTTTGTACCTAGGTCATTGAGATCCACATCACAGTATACTTTGGCATGTGCAGCTTATATTAATATTTTCTATACTTATTAAACTACTCTTCTATTAACCATTTATTGAAACGAAACAACTATAATATGACAAAAATTGACAAAAAAAACTTGACTTTATTGTCAAGATAAAATCTTGGCACTTTTAAAAGTCATTGACACATCACAGCAACAGTATTTTTGCACATTTTGGCTTAAATTATGACGATTAACCTATTCATCTTCAAACTTAAACTTAACTACCTACAGTCTTCTTCGATTGTAATTTTTGATGTTGTAGCTTTCTATATCCACAGAAGATATTTGGCCATCTCTTCGACTTTAAAAGAGCCTCGCGTATTCATGGGAATAGGAGTTTTAATAGTTTCGATCTCTTCCTTATCATACCAAAGTTTGTCTTCTTTTTCAGGCCATTTAAAAGTGGTGGGTGAAGCAAGTACCATGGTACTAACTTCTTTGCTATCGCCTCTTATATTTTTGACGATACCTGGAAAATATTCACCTTCAAATTTTATAATCACATATGACCCCACTCCGGCACTATCCACTGTTTCAGATGAACTTTTGTAGGTAACCAAAGGCATATCATCCCCTTCGGAATCAGATTCTAGTCTAGCCATTTTTTTCATTCATTAATTTGTGCCCGTTGTGTAAAAAAATTTAAAGCAAAGTAATTAAGGTAAGTAAGGTAATTAAGGTAATATTTTTTTATAACTCGAAAACT